AGGAGAGAGAAGAGGGGACAACCAAATCAACACAGATCAACTCTGTTCAAACTTTACCTTTTCTCTGTAACTCCTTCGCGGAGCTCTCCTTCCAGGAAGGATCTCCATAGTTGGTAGAAGTAGTCGTAGTCGCGGAGCTCTCCACAGGAATCTCCATAGGAGTAGCGGTAACGTAGATTCCCCAAAAACTCAAACACCCTCGTTCGAACGTAGTTTGGAGAGGTGCGAACCGTAGTAACGGTCGTTCTTGGTTAGAAGTCAGAGGTGCATCGATCGAATCAACACCGCCCGGCGGTGGATATTTGACGGTCACGTTGATTTCACCATTAGAGGTGCATCGATCAAATCAACGGCGCCGACATTCGGCGGCGGATATTTGACGGTCGTCTCGATTTCAGCAATTAGCGGTGCATTCGATCAAACGGCACCGCGAGAATTTCCACCGCGAAACGGCACCGGCGGTGGCATTTGGTTTTCTCGGGGAAACAATTTGGCACGCCCAGTGGGACACGTGTATTTGAAGTGAAATATGGCTCTGCGGCATGAAAACCACAACGTTGATCTCCCACAAGAATCTGTGAAGGTGGAGCGTGTGGCCGACATTGAAGTTGGCGGAGCATATGAGGCGGATAGACATATCGGGGTGATGAAGGAGTGGCCCCAATCCATGTCGAGCACTGATGGGCATGCTGCACTCCTGTCTCTTCGTCGATCTATAGAGGAATATTACCGGCAGGTAAATCTCTATTTTATCTCTTTAAATAAGCCTTGTGATTCTCTTGGAAGACATATGGATAAATTTTTTGACATGATAGATGAACATGTTTCCGGTATTGCCAATAAGGATTCACTTAAACTTGTGGCTAAAACAGTGGCGTTAGGGGCCAGCAAATCTCATGTTGGTTCTCCTGTGAACACTATTGTTTTGAAGGACAGGAAAGTTAGAGCGGTCTTGCGAAAGCCACAACAAAGAACAAAATTTAAATGTGTTTATAATAAGTTTCAGAAAATTAGGAAGAACAACTGTGATATCTTGAAAGATGACAAATTTTACAATGTTGTTCAATCTAAGCCGCTCGGGGGGCATGTCATCCCATATCGTGGTAGATTGAAGGAGAAACAACACCATAAGTGGCAACTAGGTTTGCCACATCCACCTTGTTCTAGGAAAAGTCAAACTAGGGTCACCACAGACACTACTCAAGATGGAGGTGGTGATCACGTGAACAAACTCAATGCCGCGAAAGTTGGTATTGCTCAACCCATTCCTTCGTGTAAATTGTCCCCAAAGGCTCCACTGAGTGGAAAGGGGGGCAAGTTTAATCGAGCCCGACATAGAGTTGTCACGCCAGTGCCGGCAGGGACCAAGTCTGCCATGAATGGTGGACATGGGGGCAATTCCACTGTCCAACAAACTCCACAATCATCTGAGAGTTCAAAAGAAATAACGTGGTTGTGTGGTAAGTGTCGTAGTAAACAGCGCAATCACAAGAGTGTTGGTGAAGCTCGTGAGCATCGAGGCTCATACTCTCAACAACGTAGTGAGAGTGCGAAGCTGACAAAACTAGACCAGTCTAGGCAAGCGATGTCGCATGGTCGAATTGGCAAGACAAAGGTGCCAAAAAACGAGAATGTCCTGTCTAGAGCCAAGAATGCTTATGGTTTTCCATTCCGAAAAGCTAAGATTATGCCAAATCAGGATCGTGGAGTTTCGAACAAAGATGTTCGAGCTAGACGAACTGGGGATTTGCAAGCCAACATTGATTCCAAAACATCAAAACCAACTCGTGTGAAGCCAGCTGTGATGAATCATGGACTTTACGGATGGCTTGTTTGGTTTGATCGATGGAGTTGGCAGTGGGTGTGGACTTTTGGCATGATGGTTTATGCCAAAATCTAGTTTGTTTCTTATTTAACTGTTAATAAATAACGTGGCTAAATTAGGCCACCTAATATGTTATAGAGAAAATATTATATAATATGATCAAGCGGCATTGCTAAGAAGAAGCAACAATATCGTTGGCAATAGTTCAAAATAACAAGCGGTGTTGTTCTCTTTTCTCAACATCGTTGGAAGATAGGGAAAGATACACAATGCTGTAAAAAAATATATATATATAAAAATTTAGCTCTGCCGCTGTTTCCAAACAGCATTGGCGGGAAAAAAGGAAAATAAAATAAAAAAAAAATTTCAACACTGCCGCAGTTTCCTAACAGCACTAGCGAAATATTAAAAAAAAAAAAAAGAGAGACTCCCAACTGCGGCTGTTCCCAACAGCCTAGAAGAAAAAGAAAAAAAAAGAAAGAGGGAACTCCCAGCGCTGCGTCCAACAGGCCTGCATAGAATAAAAAAAAAAAAATCATGCAGCGCTGGCCTGTTTCCCCAGCCGTGAAAGAAAAAAAAAATGTAGTTCTGCCGCAACAGCTCTGGCGGAATATTATAATAATAATAAAAAAAAAATTCATGCAGCGCTGCCCGCTGTTTCCCCAGCCGTGAGAGAATTTTTTTTTTTCAGTTCTGCCGCAACAGCGCTGGTGGAGAAAATAAAAAAATAAAAAAAAAAACAGAACAGATTGTCTCTCAGCGCTGCCGCTGTGCTAACAGCTCTGATTAAAAAAAAAAAATTTTTGGCAGGCAGAGTTGCCGCTGTTGCTAGCAGCGCTGATTACCCAAATATAATAAAATAAAAAAAGGGTAGAGACTAGAGAGGGCGGCCAACAGCTCTGGTGAAAAAAAAAAAAAAAATTGGGCCAAAACATTTTAGGGGACGCACAGCAGCGTTGTTGACACAAAAGAAGGAAAAAACAAGACTGAGTTGTTTGGCACCGAACAACACCGTCGGGACAAGATAATTCTGCTTCTGTTTTGGAAAAGCATGGACAAAACACAACAGCTTTGGAAAAACAGGTTTGCTGATCACACTTACAATTCCAATTTTATTATCATTGAATGTTTCTTTTTATTCCTGGCAACGGTGCAAGCATGGAGCAAAAATTTTGGGTTGCCATGTAAGGATTGCCATGCTTAAGAAATCGTCTTCTTCTACTGTTTGTTTTATTAGTGAATTATTTTAGATGATGCGATTTATTGTGTCAACAATTTGGTTCATAATTTTTATGAACCAAATTGTGGGGGGCATTTGTTAACACCTAACTTAATTTGGTCGGAATTAAATGCCGCATTAATTAGTCTCGGCATTTAAGTCGATACCGTGGGTAAAAAACGGTGTCGTTGGGAGTCGAGCAGTGTCGCGGAGAACTAAAACGGTACCGCAAGGAATCTCAACGGTACCGCAACGCTGGAAACGACACCGCTTGCCGAAAATAAAAAAAAGAGGGCCGTGTGTTTAATGGGGTTGGAGGAGGAGTCTTTAATTGTTTAATTATTATTTTTTATTCCTTGTGAGAAGCGGCACCGCGGGGAGTTAAAACGATACCGCGAAACAGAAAATCGGTGCCGCGAGGAAGCTCGGCGGTACCGCGGAACTGGAGAGGGGCGGCGCAGTGTAGGTGTTGGGGAAGGAGCTTTGTTTATAATTAATTAATATTTTTATTCCTTGTTGGAAGGGGAAAATCGGTACCGCATGGAGACAAGCGGTATCGCGGAGAGTTAAAACGGTACCGCGAGTAGGCCCAACGGTACCGCGGATTAGCAAACGACAGTGTTTAATAATAAACAGTGTCGCGGAAGAAAAAACAAACGGAGCTGGTTGGGAAAGAAAACGACACCGCAAGGCTGGAAGCGGAGTCGTTTAATGTTAAAACGATGTCGCGGGTAGAATCAAGCGGTGCTGCTCAGTTAAAAACGACACCGTTTAAGGCATCAACAACGTCGTAGTATCTCTAAGCGGTGTCGTTTAGTTGAAAACCATACCACAATGGTTTGGATTTTGGCGAGGCCTGGCAAGCACAACGGTGCCGTTTGGTTGAAAAAGAAACAATGTCGCGGAATGAAAAACGACATTGTTTGTCAGCATCGATTAGTGAAAGGTGATGCCGCGGTATTGGTGAAACGACATCGTTGCATGGACAAGGTTGTAGGATTTGGCTCAATGTCGTTTCGCCAAGTTTCTGCAAACAGGAGCGGTTTCGATGGCACGTGATTTTTACGCAAAGCAGAAAGAGGAGATCAAGGCAGTTGAGACACGGGGGATTTCACAACGGAACAGTTGAGGAAGCGGTTCCACCGGGCGTGAAGGCTACGAAGCAGTTTTTTCGAATAAAAGCAGTGGAGCAAGGAGAGAGAAGAGGGGACAACCAAATCAACACAGATCAACTCTGTTCAAACTTTACCTTTTCTCTGTAACTCCTTCGCGGAGCTCTCCTTCCAGGAAGGATCTCCATAGTTGGTAGAAGTAGTCGTAGTCGCGGAGCTCTCCACAGGAATCTCCATAGGAGTAGCGGTAACGTAGATTCCCCAAAAACTCAAACACCCTCGTTCGAACGTAGTTTGGAGAGGTGCGAACCGTAGTAACGGTCGTTCTTGGTTAGAAGTCAGAGGTGCATCGATCGAATCAACACCGCCCGGCGGTGGATATTTGACGGTCACGTTGATTTCACCATTAGAGGTGCATCGATCAAATCAACGGCGCCGACATTCGGCGGCGGATATTTGACGGTCGTCTCGATTTCAGCAATTAGCGGTGCATTCGATCAAACGGCACCGCGAGAATTTCCACCGCGAAACATCAAATCAACATCGCCGGGAACGAATTCGGCACCGGCGGTGGCATTTGGTTTTCTCGGGGAAACAGTTGGAAACTGGGAACTGGTCACCAAAAGTAAATTATTATATATGGTAGACATGAGAGCTGGTCTTTTTCTATTATTATTTGAAAGGAATATCTGTTTGGCGATGATTTTGGACCCTTGATTAGTTAGTTATCGTTCAGTGGTGGGCTAGACTGCTAGTGGCCACAAAACGATCTTTCCTGTGAGATTCTTTGCATCTGCCTGGAAAATGTACAGTCATTTTCCCCGAAGCCAAACACTCCCCAACCGAACCAACCTCTCTTCTATTTTCATTGCATATATAAGCACACGCACCCCCATCAAAGCAGAATCACCAAATCTCCGAAAAGAATCAATCTTCAAAAATCACTTTCCCTCTCAAAACTTCACAACTCATAGCTCAGCTCGACACAACTAGATTCGTTCTTATTATCTGCATCGATCTCCATCATCATGAAGGTAAGAACGCCAAGTCAAACTAATATATGGTTCGTACATTGAGTGTTTTGATGACGAAAAGAATTTTATTGTATCCGGTAACTAACTAATTTTTTATTTTATTTTATTCCAACAGCAAAAGTTGGTGATCAACGTCTCAATGAACAAGGAAAAGTCACGGCCCAAGGCGATGAAGATAGTCGTCGGCGTCCACGGTGTCGACTCGGCGTCGTTGGCCGGGCCAGACAAGACCCAAATTGAAGTCACCGGCGACGGAATCGACTCGGTGGCACTCGTCACTCTGCTTCGGAAAAAAGTGGGGTTCTCTGAACTGGTGAGCGTCGGCCCTTTGGAAGAGAAGAAGAAGGAGGAGGAGAAGAAGCCAGGGGAAGATTCTAAACCGCCGGCGCCCGTCGTATGGTCGTACGAGTACGGTGGTGGACAGCCTCACTACGTCTACCAAATGAGCCCTGCCGCCGGCGGGTACTATTACAATAACAATTACCCTTATCTTTGGAATTAATTTGTGTAGTGTACATATATTGAATTATGAATTTCCGGTGAGAGACGCAAAAAAAAAAAAGGGGGGGGGGGGGGGGTCGTCATTGGCTTGACCGGACGGCGGTCGGAGATTTTGATATATCAGTAGTAGTTTGAAATTTGAGGATTGTAAATTAAGCAGAATATTAGCAACAATGGTGGGCTATGAAATAAAATACGAGTATAAGACAAAAGCGTTCAGTACTTGAATCTCAACATCTTTCAAGATTGTGTATGTGATGTTAGATGAATTCTTAATGCATATGGTCATGTGACATGGTGAATTACTTGAAACGCGTTGATAGTAGATGCAGATTGTTACTTGTTAGACATATTGGAAAACGAAACAGAGAGGAAGAACCCCCTATTTAGTATTTACATGATATTTGTTCACTATGAAAGGCTAAATCACGGGAGAGATCGAAAATTACTGATCATCTTCTTTCTACTAATCTTGTTTGATAATTCATTTTCAAATTAGCGACGTTCTATTGTTGCTAGGACTTGAAAATAGATTATCGGTAGGTTATTGAAAGTCACGCGGAGTCTCACTTTTTTGGAGTTGCAAGGTGGTCTTCGAATCCCGATTTAGGTTTGGGGGCAATGCCAACGATCCACGGTGTATGGATTTATACACATTTGCTTTACCGTGCCACATTGGGCAAAGTCTGTACCGTTTTTCTCTGTTGTGGACAAGCCTTTTTATTGAAGAGTAACATGTAAATCGGTTGTTCTTCATCTCAATTTCGTTTTATGTATGTCTAACAATATGCATCGTCTATTAATGCGGTTTCAACTAATTCACCATATCACATGTGATTAGAGGTGTTCAAACGGTTTGGTTACCATGGCAACAGTTTTAACCGGTACTATTTGGATAATTTGGTTTGGTTAATTTGGATAATTGGTTTGGTTTGGTTAAAGTTCTTAGCTTGTTTGGTTTAGGTGGTTTGGTTTCAGACACTCCTAACCAGTCAAACCAAATTAACCAGTTAAGTAATTAGTCATATATCTAACATATATTACATACACATACTTGTTACTTTGCATAATCACTCAAGAGTTAACGTTCATCCCTTTTAGACTCATAAAATATAAAGCTCAATATTGCTCATATAGTGTATATTTGTATATGTAAAATGTAGACCACAACATATGGACGCCCAATTTAGATAAATTTCATACATTATGATGGATGAAAACTTGAAAGGAAGGTCATTTACAGCCTATGATAATTGCTAAGAGACTAAGTCATTTTACACAAACACAACAATTCATTAACCCATACCATTATCATAAATTTTTGTTAGGTGAATACTTCTATACTAATGGTAAGATAATTGTCTTAGTTGCATGTATTTTTGTTAAGGGTCAACTATAACTACGTGTTAGTTGTTATGTTTTATTCATTATATAAATTGCGAATTGTTGCATTAACCGGAAAATTTTCATCGTCAATGATAATGTGATTTTATATTGGTTAATCTGGTTAACCAATTAACCAAACCGATTAAACTTTAGTTTGGTTAATTTGGTTGTTGTATTAGTTTGGACGGTTTGGTTATGATATTGTATTCCATGGTTAATGGAATTTACCCTTATTTGATTTGGTTATAACCATGTTAACCATTTGAACACCCCTACATGTGATGACCATATTCATACAGAATTCATCTGCACAATCTTGAAAGATGAAAAGCTGTAGTCTTGCTCGTATTTAATTACACTGCCCACCATTGCTAATATGCTTGTACTTATATATGCAATTGTGCATGCAATGGAAGAGAGGTTCATTTGTTTAGTGGAGTGTTTGGCTGTGCGGAAAATGGCTGTACATTTTCCAGGCAGTCGCAATAAAAAATGGGTGTGCCCGTTAGCAGTCAAGCCCAGGCACCTTTCTCTCATCGTACGCAGATACTCCTTTCCAATAATAATAGAGAAAGACGTCGCATGTCGATATGTTTACGATATATATAAATAATTTACTTTTAGTGACCAGTTCTTCTATGTATACAAGTGGAGTAGTTCCCAGTTCCCACTTAGGATTATTGACCGATAAAATACTCTAGTGTACAAGACAGAAAGGTCAACGTGTGTTTGGATTTTGGAGGGTAGTATTGTCTATTAGGAACAGCTAGGCCTAGAACCCCATCTGGAAGGAAAGGATATTCCGATCGAGTTGTTGTTTTGTCTAAATAGTAGTGATGACTAGAAACTAGAAAGTCTGGTTTTACTTTTAGCGACGACGCGACGTTCCCAATATTACTAGCCTCCAAACCTCCGAGACCCACCCGAGAAGACTCGCGGGTCACTCTTACCTTTGCTTCGTCACTATTACTCTCGGGTCTATACTCTATTGGCCTGCGCCTAAGAGGAAGCTGGGAACAGCTTCAAATGATATAAGAACTGGTCACTAAAAGTTTATTTAGACCAACTCCAATTTTAGTCCCAAATTTGGGTACCTTCATCTCTAAATTTGGGGATTATCACCGTTTTTATTATTTTTATTCTAATGTTACCATCTACAAATTTCGAGACCTCACTTTTTCTACTTTTTATTCTAATGTTACCATGTTACTTTTTTTTGTATAATTCATCGTCATTTTTAAATTATTAATAAATGATTTTGAAAATAAATGATTAGCCTAATTTTTCTTTACACACAACACTTGAAAATTATTGCTCTAATTACACTACAAAAAAGTAGGCCTTTAGCGACAGTATTTTGCGACGGGAGAAAAGTCGTCGCTAAAAGTTCATTTTTTGCGACGAAAATGATAATCCGTCACCTATTAGTTCATATTTTCCTATGCGATGGGTAGTCCTTTTTGGCGACGAAAAATTATTATTTGGCGACGAAATATTGGGTCACAATACATTAGCTAAGATATGGCGACGTATTTGTCGTCGCAATAAGGTTCTTATAGATTTTGCGACGAACTGTTTTCGTCGCAGAAAGGTTAATTTATTTGCGACGATGATTTCGTCGCCAAAGATTGAAGAAAACTGTGTCGTTTTAAGCATTTAAAGATAGTAGCTCTGCTACTCTAAATGTTGCCGTTTTAATCATTGAATTAAAAAACAAAAAACAAAAAAAAAAACCCTCATCATGACTGCGTCGTTTTGGGCATCCCATGTCTCTAACCTTGGAAAAGAATCCCCAACTCAGCACGCGCCCAAATCGGCAACGAGCTCCCGCCCTCTCCCAAACTATTGAGAAATCCCTAGCTAGCGCGCGGCAAACCCTTCTGCCAAATCCAGTAAGCTCACTGCAGATTTTTCTCTGGTTACAAACATGGAGATGCGTATCTCCTCTCGGATCGAGAAAACCCCTAGCTAGCGAGCGGGGAACTCTTCATATTGGCGAATCAGACTACTGCAGACCTTCATAAACCTTCTTCGCTGGTTGACTGGTCGGCTCACATCAATCCTTCACTCTCCGGTTACGACGTACAGGTTCTACTCGATCTAGCCTCAGGTTCTTCTCTCCTTCTTTTCAGCCTTGATTTATTGTTATTCCATTCTGTAACTCGTGGCCTCATTTCCCTAATTTCACAGCATAAGCGAGCGGAGTCAAGCTTGAATGTGTCGGGTGCTCGTTAGCCCTTCTGCTGGAGTTAGGAATTCGTTCCCCTGTTAAGTCTCCCCTGCAAATCAGAATCCCCTTTTAGGTATTCACTTTTGGCATAGAATGACCAGTTCATGAAAATGGCATAGCGATGTTGATTTTGAACTAGATATTATGTGACATTGAATGAGTTGGATTTGAAGTGGTTAGTAGGTGGATTTTGTGGTTGTATACAGGCTTTTTGATTTTTTTTGGGTTTTGTTGGCGAGCTTGCAGGGTAGGTGTGATGGAATTGAGCTTTTACACCTTTGTCCTGTCCCTTTGTGTTGTCTGCTGCACTTTTTTCAGATTTCGTGACTTTGCTTCACTGATATAGTGATATCTAATGTACTAATTGTATTTGTTTGGAGGCAATTGTACTTTTATGCAAGGGATGGACCTTCAATCCTGTTTTGTTTCTTTCAAGTTCTATTTAGATCCCTCTGTGTGGGAGAGCGGAGAATGCTATATGCCTTAGGTATCTTATTTTTAATCCAAGAACCAGATTGGTTAACATGGAAAGTAAGGGTGAAAAGTGTTTAAATTATATGCCCTGACCTGGTCTAGTTTTTGGTTTCTGCCAATGGAAGCAAAGTAATGTTTGTGTAATATGTAGTATGGCACTTGTGCAAATTTTTTGAGGAGGTCGTTGCTTTTTACATGTACACTCAGGATATTAAATCTGCAATTGTTGTTGTCACTTTATATTCGCATTACTCTTCACTTTCCATCAAAGAGAAACGAAATGGTGATGGTGGTGATGATGATATGAACAAGGAAACATGAGATATGATCTTGGTAGCTAGTCACATATGGTTTGTGATGAACTGACGATAGTGGAAAGGATAGCTCCTTTTCACCCAACTTGCAGTATAGTCCGTCAGTTTTACTCCTTGTGAAATCACATGTCTACATCACTCTCTCCATGGAAAAAGAATACATGGCTCTTTTATATAATGATAAACTTTTATACTACTTCTAGATTAACAAATAAAAAGCAACTTCTACCAAAATAAAAAAATAAAAAAAGCAATTTGCACATACACTAAAAAGCTAAAACCAACAGGACACAACCTTTGGTCTCGCTACAAACCCTTTATCACTACATTCCACCAAAAGAATATGTGGCTCTTCCTTTTCAACAAAGTTTTAGTAGCCAATTAGATTATGCTATTTGGAAATGTTAGTTTGGAGGTTTCTGTTCAAGGTCAGAAAATGCTATAAAGGGGTGGCAATATGTGATTAATGTTATTACTCCATCCTAATTCGTACACTTAAAATGGGTTTTGGTCAATTATATTATTTGAATTTATTTAAGTTAGATTCATGAACTGATAGATTCAATTAGCATTTTACATAAGCCACTTATTGTAGCAGTGGCCCTTGTTTCCATTTGTCTTGTTCTTTCTTTTGTCCATTTTGGAAGATAGAAAATACACCCGTTATGAAACTTGACATGTACCTGTACCAATACGCGTCAATTGTCAATTATGGGATCGATTGTGAATGGTTGAGGTTGATAGAAATGTGTATTTTGATGAAACTAGTATATTTTCTGTTAAGTAATTGGTATTCCACTTCAAGGTAATTGCTATGTCTTTTAAATATGAT